ACAACACCATGGTTACAGTTAGCATTACAGCTTCTGGTTTCCTGATGTATGTCAGCGCTGTTTATATCAGAGAATTCTGTGCAGAATTTGAATGATTCTCACTAGATCTCGCAGCAACCTTATCATTGTGCGGCGAATTCAAACGCTTCTCACTGGATCTCGCAGCACTGTTGCATCTGTGCAGTAACGTGAAATCAACTTTGAATCCCGAGTAAAGCTGTTCTGAGCTCGGACAAGTTTGTTTGCGTTGCGAGCTGATGAACGGTCCGCGCTGCGCAGCTGAAACGTAGCGCGGTTTAGTTTCGCTTTAGTTTGATGTTTCTCAAATGTAACAGAAATGGCAGCGCTTATGAGCTGGACAACACGGTGGTCGGCGCCTGTGCGACCGCTCACAAAAATTAGTCGCACCGGCAGAAAAAATGGTTGCAAAATGCGGCCATTTGGTCGCAGTCTGGAGCCCTGTATATGAACAACTATAATTTTTATAAGTTGCTCCCTTCTCACTACTGTTAAAGGGATAGTTCACCCAAAAATGAAAATTGTCAATTTATTCAAGTTTTTCCAAATTCAATCCTTGATTCAAATTTCTCAAATAAGCTTAATTGATTTGGTCTAAGAGAGAAGAATTAATGACTATTTTTGTTTGAAGTCTACATATAAAATAGCTACCAAAATAAATGTTGGTAACTGCAGTTTGACTAAAAGTAATGACTAGAAGTTGACAAAAATGCAATGACTTTTCGTCGACAAACTATGAAAGACTCAAATGACTAAAATGTGACTAGGATTATTAAGCATTTTCGTCTCAAGATAAAGACTAAGACTAAATCAAAAATGCCTGTCAAAATTAACACTGCATGTATCCTTCTCTAACAGCCTTGTAGGAAGGCTTCATGAAGGGGTTATGCTGTTCACTTTCATGTGGCGAACCATCCCAGTTCCCTTCAAGGGCACAAAAACGCCAAAGATTTGGTCTCACACTCATGTCTTTTACAGTAAACTGATTTCATCCAGAAAAATTATGAAGTAGTATCACAAATTACATAAGCATTATATTGGAGCCAGCTTGTTTTCTTCGAGTATAATACAACCAAAATTGACAGAGCCTTAAAACCAGACTTCTGTTGAAGGGAATCAAGGATGAATGTAATATCACCTGATTTAAAGGCATTTCTGAAGCCTCCTCTTCCTCCTCGTGATCCTCCTCTGCCTCCTAAAAATACATCATGTGAGCAATGCCAGTCGAATACAACTTCCAGCATTGACTCTATGCAAGCAGGCTGCACACAAACAACTTTGGATTCAGATTTACGAAGTTTAAATCTGTAATTTCCGGATTGTTCAGGCAACCCTCTGAAAAAATCTATTTTTAAAATACGTAGTTTCGCACCTCCCTAATCAGGGTTGCTGTACAGTCAATGGGTCTCATTCACTAATAATTGCACAAATTATTCATATTTATAAACACATTCGAACTTCACAAAAACTTTCAGTGTAATCCATAATTTGTATCTCTTTCGTATTTGTCTTATTCTGCTTCTTTTTCAAAAATTATAAATTATATATATTATATATGAACAACTATAATTTTTATAAGTTGCTCCCTTTTCACTACTGTTAAAGGGATAGTTCACCCAAAAATGAAAATTGTCAATTTATTCAAGTTTTTCCAAATTCAATCCTTGATTCAAATTTCTCATAAGCTTAATTGATTTGGTCTAAAGAGAGAAGAATTAATGACTATTTTTGTTTGAAGACTACATATAAAATAGCTACCAAAATAAATGTTGGTAACTGCAGTTTGACTAAAAGTAATGACTAGAAGTTGACAAAAATGCAATGACTTTTCGTCGACCAACTATGAAAGACTCAAATGACTAAAATGTGACTAGGATTATTAAGCATTTTCGTCTCAAGATAAAGACTAAGACTAAATCAAAAATGCCTGTCAAAATTAACACTGCATGTATCCTTCTCTAACAGCCTTGTAGGAAGGCTTCATGAAGGGGTTATGCTGTTCACTTTCATGTGGCGAACCATCCCAGTTCCCTTCAAGGGCACAAAAACGCCAAAGATTTGGTCTCACACTCATGTCTTTTACAGTAAACTGATTTCATCCAGAAAAATTATGAAGTAGTATCACAAATTACATAATCATTATATTGGAGCCAGCTTGTTTTCTTCGAATATAATACAACCAAAATTGACAGAGCCTTAAAACCAGACTTCTGTTGAAGGGAATCAAGGATGAATGTAATATCACCTGATTTAAAGGCATTTCTGAAGCCTCCTCTTCCTCCTCGTGATCCTCCTCTGCCTCCTAAAAATACATCATGTGAGCAATGCCAGTCGAATACAACTTCCAGCATTGACTCTATGCAAGCAGGCTGCACACAAACAACTTTGGATTCAGATTTACGAAGTTTAAATCTGTAATTTCCGGATTGTTCAGGCAACCCTCTGAAAAAATCTATTTTTAAAATACGTAGTTTCGCACCTCCCTAATCAGGGTTGCTGTACAGTCAATGGGTCTCATTCACTAATAATTGCACAAATTATTCATATTTATAAACACATTCGAACTTCACAAAAACTTTCAGTGTAATCCACAACATGGACGATGTTCTTAAAGGGTTAGTTCACCCAAAAATGAAAATTAGGCTGTGTTTTACTCTCCCCAGAGCCATCCTAGGTGTATATGACTTTCTTCTTTCAGACAAATCCAGTCGGAGTTCTATTAAAAATTGTCTTTGATCTTTCAAGCCGTTTAATGCCACTAAGCGGGTGTTGCATGCACCCTTCCACAAAAAACAAAACCTACATTAAAGTGATTATTACGTTTTGAATATGGATATTTCTCTTACAAAAACGCATCGATTCGCTACAAGAGGCCTTTGTTCAACCCCCGGAGGATGGGCGCTCTTTATTTAACTTCTTTTGGACTGACGCATGCAACACCCGCTGAGTGGCATTAAACGGCTTGAAAGATCAAAGACAATTTCTAATAGAACTCCGACTGGATTCGTCTGAAAGAAGAAAGTCATATACACCTAGGATGGCTCTGGGGTGAGTAAAACACAGCCTAATTTTCATTTTTGGGTGAACTAACCCTTTAACCTCGTTTTAATGTTAGTGAATTGTCTTTCACCTTTCATGACTCTAGTCAAACATAAGCTCTCTACAGACACAATTTCACCAGATCCTTGAGCAACGCCAAGGGCGCCAGTTAGGGATGTAACGATTAACCGCGAGCCGGACGAAAATCGATTCAAATATGTGATGATTCAGATCGGTAGAGATGCCACACAAAACACGATACAATTGGAGTAGGAGTTTATATGAATGCATCTCTGAGGGGAACTGACTGTCTTCAGAAAAATTCTCTTTTCATCTTGCCTCTGAACAATGCATATTAAAGTAGTGTTCATAAGCGCAGCGCTGCTTTGTTAACAGCGGTAACCCAGGAAACACTATCGTTGCTGCTCATAAGCGCCACCTGCTGTCAGAGAGTGAATCTTCGTTCATACAGTTTTCACACACATTTTGCGAACACATGCTTGGTGAAAGAGACCCAATGTCCCTAGCTAATTGTGCTAAATATCATTTGGATAGAAATGGTCCACATCTACAAACAAGTTCAATTTCACAATGTCTGATTGTTTGACTCCAAAGCAGGGCAGTGATTCTCAACCCTCGTCACCCAAGCCCCCGTACACCTCCCACCAAAAAACTGCACATTTTGTCTCTCTAATCAAACACACCTGATGTAATGGATAAGCTTATTGGCAGACACTCCAAGACCTGAAACAGGTGTCTCGGACAAAGAAGATATTAAAATGCGTGTTGGGGCTCCAGGAACAGGGTTGAGAAACACTGCTCTTGATGTCTTGATGAAACACCGTCTGTGTGAAGGCTCTTGATGCAGTTACTCATTACTTCAGTTATCATTACTTAAAAGTTCTCCTACTCACCTCTGCCCCTGAATCCATCACCAGCAGTCTTCCATGAGCTGCCGTCAACATCTACAAACACAAGGACACACTTTAGATATGTTTTAATCTGCGTCCTTACATTAGCTTTCAGGTACAGGTACCTATGTAACCGGTATGTACTAGAACCGAATCAGAACGCAGATTTCGGTGCCTCATTTCGGTGCCACTTAAATGCCTGAGCGATCGATTGAAATATTTGTCCTGGTTCTCTGAAATGGACTTAAGACGCATGGGCGTCGCTAGGCCATTTTTAGCGAGGCTATAGCGATTAGCTCCATAAACTGTCACAAATTCATGATTGCCTCAGAGTCAGTCCTCTTTAAATTTCATATGAAAACGGCGGCAGACTTTTCGTCTCCTCCCCGTCTTTCAGCGTGCTCTTCAATTCCGCAGACCGCGGCGGCGCAGCGCGAGCGGACTCAAACATAGGACACAAGGTGTGTGTTTATCGATAGATTGTTATAATATCTGTATCTGTGCAGTTCTTTGTCATAAATACAGTTTACAAAAGGTCACGAGGGAGCAATCGGTTTCCCATTTACAGTAAATGCACTCAGTCAATTCACTCATTTTAACTAAAAAGAGTGATTGACAGAGATACAGTAGAAACATTATGTGTGGTTTTGTATTAAATATTGTTTTGTATTAAATAATGACCCAGATAGTGAAATACATTAGCCTTAGAGTAAGGGAAGCACAACTCGGGAAATAAAAGCATCCAAGGAGCATGTGAATGCCATGTAATTTATTTTTTATATTTTTAATGTTCTTTAATGTTATCCATCGTTTTTTTAAGTGGCTTTTTTTTTTAAAGTATCGGTTCAGGCACTGGTACCGTTTTAAAAGTATCGATTTGGCACCGGTCTCGTAAAAAACCCAATCGATACCCAACCCTACAAATCATAATAGAATCTGACATGTTATTTTAAATTTGTTAATGTGAATTGCTTCTAATATACCTCTCCAGACCAAAAAAAGGTTCAATGGTACCACTGACATCCATAATTAGGATATGTACATAATTAGGACCCAAAAGATTAACAAATTTCAAAATTGCTTGGTGATTTAGAAGAGCTTCGGTTCAATGAGCTGTATTTAGTTTAAATTACATTCAATTTGATACCTTCATTCTAATGATTCTAATCATAATTGCACCTACAGTGCATTCACATACCAGGAGACAGGCCGTTACACGAGGACAGCTGGATAGGACTGAAGCAGCGCAACAACAGTACAAGTATCTACACACTACTGACTTACATTATGAGTTGCTGTGATAAAAATCAGGCAAGTTGGATCAGCTTGTAATTTAAATTTTTTTTCATATATGATCTTGGTTTTGCGCAGCTTGTTAGTGAACAACGTCTCGGTGTAGTAAATGCTGCTCCATATGAAAGCACGCACGTGATGGAGATTTACCGCTGATTACAGAACCGGCTTTACTGACAAGATGCGCATTAAATATTGCATGCAATTTATCGTGCAACCCAACTGGAAAAGCGTAAAGCATTCAAGTGTTTGTCATGTTCTGACCCTAAAGAGTAGATTTAAACCAAAATTAATGGTCTGTAGGCTTGCCGCGGTAGACGGTGTTGACGGTGATACCGGTGTTAAGCCGCAACACCGGTTACGTCACTTGCCCACCGCGTCACCGACCCCCACCGTCGTTTTGATTTTTTATAGAAATACAAATCATTTAGTTCAGTAAGAGAACAGACACTACAATTAAAAACTGAACGCGGATGCTCAATGCAGTTGAACGACAGTTGCATCACAGATCAGATTTCATTTCTCCAGTGAGTCGAGCTGACTGACAAGAAGAGT